AAACTTGAGTAAAAATAACAACCAACACCGGTAGATTATAAGGCATTGCAAATTCTAAAAGTACATACTTTTGGGTACATGATTGTGATCATATAAATGAAATAGAAGCGTTGTTCATAGGAATACAAACAAGTTGTGGGTGCACAAGCCCGAAAATAGGCAGCGAAATCAATAGAATTCTGCCAGGACTCGAGCATTAGATTATCAAAAATAACACCGATAGTTGTTGTTGGATCAAATCGAGAAGAATAACTCGAAATATTCAGTGCAGAGACAGTAGGAAGAGCGCCAGTTAATTTAATGACTATATTGCATCGATGTTTAAATCTAAATTGATTACAACGTTTTATTTGATGGGCTAATTTATTGGCAAAAGCTTTCTCAAAATGTTTATCCAAAAGGTTATATTGTTTATGGTGGTTCACGCAATTATGAACGCGCTGAAGGGAGTATTATCAGTTGGAGAAATATAGATGATATTTTCAAATAAATGATTGTAAGGTTGCTATCTATCCAAGAATGTTTTGCCCCTAAAATTTTTATGATAGAAGATAGCAAAATGATGAGCATAATTACGTAAAGCAATAATAAGAGCGCCTATATTTGTCTGTGGGTCTAGTATTATACCGTTTCGAAAATTTGGCGAAAACAAGGTTTCTTCTCTTTTGGCAATGCTTATAAAATGTGCTTGAGGAAATAAATCTTTTACTGCATTGAGTTGTCCTTTGCCCCCATCTATTAAAACTACGTCCGGCAAATCTTCAATGTTTCTATATCGCCTGGTAACAATTTCTTGCAGGGCCGCATAGTCATTTTGATCTATCAGTGTTTGGATTTTGAATTTGCGGAAATTCTTTTTATCAGGAATTCCTTCGGTAAAACGAATGCACGATCCGACTATCCATTTACCCTGAAAATGAGAAATATCAAAACAATCTATACTTTTTGGGGGCTTTTCTAAACTTAATAAAACTTGCAGTTCTTCAAGCCCTTTTTTAAAGACGATAGCCTGATTATTTTCCTTAGTTTTTTTAGCAAATTTGATAACTTCTTCTTCAGAATAATCCAGATCAAGTGTATCAAAAATGGATTCTAAATTTTCCATGTATTCATTGATATTTTTTGATTTTTCAAATTCAAGTTGCTGATTATAACTTTTAATTTGTTCAAGCAAAAATTTTTTAACATCATCATATTCTGCGCTCAACAATTTTTTTACTAGCTCAATTCTGATCATATAATCATTAAGATCAAAATTTTCTAAACAAGCTCCTGCGCATTTACCTAAATGGTAATCGAGACATCCTTGTTTGATTTTTAGTTTGCAGATTTTAAGTTTGAATTTCCGCAGAATAAATTCGAAAACATGACGAGTTTTGGCTTTGTATAAAAAAGGTCCAAAATAAATTGATTTTTTATTGGCTTGCTGTGTTACCAGATTCAATTTAGGAATCTGCTCAGAGGTGATTTCAAAATATAAAAAAGGTGATCCTGATTTTAATAACGTATTGTATTTTGGCTGAAACTGACGAATCAGTTGAGCTTCAAGTAATAAAGCTTCTGTTTCATTTTTAGTTTGAACATAATCAATGCTTGCATGTTCTTTAATTAAATGCTGAATTTTTGAGTCAGGCTCTTGAGTTTTAAAGTAAGAACTGACTCTTTTCTTTAAATCTTTTGCCTTCCCAACGTAAATAACGCCTTTAGTACAATCTTTGAATATATAGACCCCAGGTAACCCTGATAGGTCTGCTAGATCTTCAATAGTTTTGACTTTTTTTATCATGATCAACTCTATTAATATTTGTATCATTCAGTTTATATTATTTTGCAGATGTTGCAATAAATTCAATTGCATTAAGGCATAGTGATATTATTTTAGGACAAATCCTCGAGAGAATATATGAATAGGTGATAAAGCATGAAGAGAGCATTTTACTTTATTTTATTAAGTTTTTTATTTTGATGTTAGCA